TCCTTCTCAGGTCTCGCTTGTACTTGCCTTCAAAGGCTCCTCCGTTGGCTCTATGCAGGGTGCACCTGTTGTCCCAGATAATCATATCTGACGGATTCTTCCACTCAACGCTGATGGTGTACTTCTTCTGGGTGACGTGGTCGAGAAGCTTCTTTATCAGCGCGTCGGATTCTTCCTTGGGAATACCCTCTATGTGATGGGAGTGTGCCGCAATGTAGATATTTCTGCGACCGCTGGGCTCGTGGATCTGAATGAGACGATGCCGAGCCATAACGCCGCCGTTGGTTGGATCGAGGTCTTTAAAGAATTCTGGGGATCCTAGTTTGCGAGACTGTGCGATTGAGTGATGAACAACATAGTCTTTCTCCAGGAGTTCCTTTTGAAATTCTGGATCAAGCTCGTCCCAAGCGGTGCGTGAGTCGGCGAAGTCAGTATTACCGCCATTGCCGGGAGGAGGAATTTCCACCGCACGTAGTAGAGAAAAACTTGCTCGCCTGGGGTTGAAAGAGGAGTCGACGTGAAAGAGAGCGTTTCCCTGGGACATAAAATAAGCCGAGAGCAGGCAACAAGAAATTTCAGGTGAGCTTACCTTGCCATAGTGCGCTCTTGGGCTGTCAGGATCGAGGACACCACCTTGATCATCGATATTTCCAGCGTCGAACAGTTCGTAGAAACCGTATCTTGGCCTGCGACCATCGACCATATAGCGTTTCATGGTGTCCAGATCACCTATACGTCTGGAGAACTCAATATGACTGGCATCATCCAGCCCGGTGTTGCGGAAGATGCAAACACCATACTAAACCAATGAAGGGATCATGTCAGCGACTAACTTGCAGAATACTGCCGCTTCAACCAGGTGAAATGCTGATGAGGGAGGGGTCACAAGGCTTGAAGAAAAGGGGGATTGGTACCTTCGCCATTGCGGCGAGGATCTCATTGAATTGTTCATCGGATAAATTCTGAAAATCGACGCCCTCAACCTCAGCTGCGAATGTAGGGTGAAGTTTCTGGACGCCGATGGTCTTGAATTCTGGCTCCTCAGCGTAGCTGCCCATGTCGGCTCTGATGTTGATGCTTGGTTGCAAGGCCCTTGAACAACGGCAGGGACCAGGCTTGACAACAATCAGTGATTTGTTCTGGTTGACGGTTGATCTTGTCGTAGGGGTCAAGGTATGATTCGCTGGAGTATTTCGACTTGTACATATACCTGTTTCTTCGCTGGAGTCAAGAATCATCTTACCGTGAAGATGAGCAGAAAACCACCTTTTGCGCTTAGGTAAACATGGGGCTCCTCAAGTCGTGGGGCACATTGTGGAGGAGGCACTTCCTGGGGAGTAAGACACATCAATAGAGTTGCAACTCGGCAAGTAAGAAATGGCAGAGCCAGCAAGACCGAGCTTTGGTTTAGGGGGACCACTAATGATCGCAAAGGGCAGCCTGTGGGCAAATGCCCACTAGTCATTCCAACCTGGTCTCTGTGGCAGCGAGCCCGCCTTAACCATTACTACTGGCGGGGCTGCTGGAACACGCCCACCACGCCTGCGTCGACAATAAGCGTCGTAGGATGGGAGATATCGGTGTGGGAGTCTGGAGACCCGGGGCAAACATGCGAAGGGTGGGGTGGAGAGGAAGAGTTGGCCTAACTTGGCATCTGGCGTTCTTTTGAAGGAAATGATGGTGGCGTCTCAACACATGTCGCATATATGACAAGGAGCGCTGTGCGCTCGGTCTTCTTTGCTGTCAATGGGCTTGGCTCTCCATGGCGAAACCCGACTGTCATCTCCCTGCCCTGCTTCTGATAACTCGTCTCTCGGTGCTCTGGTCGCAAGGGAAATTGGTGCCGACATATCCGACCGTCCAACACTGCGTCCATTCGGTGTCTTGGCCTTGTTGGATGAATGACCTCCACAGCGGTCCCAAGGAGGAGGAAGTGTGGGATACACTCTGCTGCATAGTCGGTGTCGAGCAGTGCTCGTCGGGCCCGATGACGAAGTTTGAGATCCGCTCGAGGCATTTCATATGGGAACTGGGCAGTGTGCGTAGAAACGGTCTACCGGCAAACGTCGAGTAAAGCACTTCATCTCTGGTCAGGTGGTGTAGTGTCGGAATTGTCATGATCTTGTCGAGTGGTCGTCCACAAATTCATTCATGCCGGGAAGTCGACGGCAGCGCAGACTGCCTCTTGAAAAAGCCACGTAGATCCTCACAAGGGTAGTACGGAGGAGCTTTGGGGGGTGTCCTGGGACTAGACCGCATCTTTGTGCTCTTCTCGCCAGGTCTTCTTCGTTTGCATGCTGTTGAGCGTGTCTTCGCGTTAAGTCGCGTTGCGCCTCGGCAAAGTTGCCCTGCAGATGGTGGCCTCCAAAACTTTGTCACTCTCATCAAGTTTGCGAAATTCTTTTGCCCTTTGTACCCCGATCTCTTCTGCAACTCCTCGTTGGTGAAAATGGAAAGCTTAAGCGATGAAGTTTGGGATGTTGTCATAGCTGGAACCAGCATCCCCCAGTCGCTTCTTGCGTTGTAGGTCTCCTTCTCTCCTTGCTCAGTCAAGCCTTTGACTGACTGACAAAGCGTTCCTCACTAGGGCTCTATCTCGTTCCGACAAGAAGATTTTGCATGTGGATCGACATTCTTATTATGGAGGTGATGATGCCGGCTTGAGTCTAGCAGACGCCCAAGCTTGGGCAGAAGACTTGCGGCAATGTGTGCAAATTGTGCCTCGAGATTTTTGCATCACTGATGATCTCGCAGCCACAAGCAGAGTGTTTAAAGACGCTTCCATCTCGAGATTTGCCGACGACGATTCTGGGCCGCCCATATCACTTGGACCGTCTCGGTCGTATACCCTGAGCTTGAGCCCTCAAATCATCTATGCCAAATCCGAGTTTCTCCCCAGCCTGGTCTCGTCGCAGATACATACTCAGCTGGAATTTCTTGCCGTTGGGTCTTTGTGGGTACTGAGTGACGGACAACTGCACAAGATACCGAGCACTCGTGAAGATGTGTTTAATGATGAGTCACTTTCAATGAAGGACAAGCGTGGGTTGATGAAGTTCCTAAGATACGTGATGCAAGAGGAGGAAACGACCACGGGCTCAGAAAAAGACAACGCTAGCATATCGCTGAAGGCTGCTTTGTCGAAAAAGTTCAAAATTCCGGACTCCCTGCAGGCTCCGCTGGTGGCACTTGCACTGTCCCCTGTGGCTGCTAACTTGGTCCCCTTCGACAAAGCTCTTGCCAGGATCAGGAGACATATGAGGTCAATGGGTCATTTTGGTCAAGGGTTTGGCGCCGTCGTTGCGAAATATGGCGGCACCGCAGAAATTGCACAGGTGGCCTGTCGTGCTGGTGCCGTGGGCGGAGGTGTGTACCTCCTAGGGCATGGCTTACAAGATCTCGATGCTACTAGTAACACGCCTGCTCCCCAAGGCACAGATGGCGGGGATATCCCGCTCATCGAGTGCACACTTTCCGACGGTACTCGAATCCGAGCCCGATATGTCGTCGGCAACCGCGATGATATTCCAGCCGTGAAAGATACCACGCAAGAAGTGGCCTCTTTCTGCACTACTTGGAGGTCCGTCAACGTCATTGCGGATCCTTTACGGTCAATGTTCCCTCAGACATCAGACAATGGACCTATACCAGCAGTGGCAATAATTCTCGTCGACGATGGCACCCCTGATAACGACCAGAATCCCATTTATCTACAGATTCACTCAGAGGATACAGGGGAATGTCCTGCGGGTCAATGTATGTATTTCCCTTTGCTGTCTTTTGATTTCTCTTCCATGATGATCCAACATCGAATACTTATCTACATTGCCTGAGCATTATGTGCTTTGCTGATAACTATCCTCTGACAACCTGATCTGGATGCCCTCCCAACTATGTCTTCGAACCATTGGCACGAAGGCGATTTTACTGACTCGTGCCTGACTAGGTCTCATCTATGCATCGGTCGTTTCTGAAGATGGCTCCTCCAAAGATCGGCTTCAAGCTGCTGTGAGAGGGTTTCTTGAGACTGCTGGTGCAAAAGATTCACTCCTCTGGTCGCTGTCCTATCGAGCCGTAGGGCCAGACATATTTTCAAATTCGGATTATCCGCCACTACGAAAGCACTCACAGTTCATTATATTTCCACACAAGCCTCAAGACGTTGCCTTTGACGACGGTATACTACATGCGGTCAATGAGGCTTGGCAGGTTATCTTGGGGCCAGAGGTCACTGCAAACAGCACATTTCTGAGGTTTGAGGAACGGGAATCCGAGATTGAGGATTAGAACTATGTCCCTGCTGCTAACGTCAGCCTGAAGCTCTCGCACTGTGCTACCCACTGCTTCTGATTCTGACCACATCTCTTTAAAGAGGGTTTGCCTAATATCATGCGTCTTGCAGTCCTGATTTCGAGCTGACTTAGCCTTACCGTGATCCGGCTTTTATTGCTACCTAGTAAACATGTAAACAAGGAAGGCCATAGTCTCCGCAAAATGCCATGCAGCAGAGCGACGACAGGGTGAACGCCCTCGATCTGTGGGAGGATATAACAGAATGGGTATTTTCCAATGCCTTCGGCTCAAGGTGCTTGCTTGAATGCAAAAGCGTATGGTTTGCCTCGAGACTCCCTCAAGTGTATGGAGAGTCGCCGAGTGACCTTGATAGCAATGCCTTCATTTCCAATGCATCAACCAAACCGTCGGGCTCACAAATCTTGCCATGGCGTGTCTGGAAGGTGTATGAGAGATCAGTAATGTTTACGAGAGGATGATACTCCAGCCCCTGAATTTCTGTCCTAAATGCTCCATACAAAATCTGAAAAGGCTCCAAACCCAACAAACACGCCAAACTCCGATAAGTGATAAGGAAACCCTTGGCATGTTTGCCTTCCGTCGAACTCGAAAATTTTGGGATTGAATCTTTTGGTGTTTGAAGACCCTAAAGAATAGCAACCCGCCACCGCTCTTTTTCGCTGTACCCTCACTCTCAATCCGCAAACATGTCGTCAGACGAGATCGTGTGGCAGGTAATCAACCAGCAATTCTGCTCGTTCAAGTTAAAGTAGGTCGACACTGCTCATATATCCAAACTCAAGCATCGTCGGTTCTAATGAGAACAACCACAGACTAAGCAGTAAAGATCAAACTTTTTGTCGCAACGAGTACAACCTCACAGGCTTCTGCAACCGCCAGTCCTGCCCGCTGGCTAATTCCCGCTATGCCACCGTCCGGCCAGATCCCCAGACCGGTGCCCTATGCCTCTTCATCAAAACTCCAGAACGCACTCATTTGCCCTCAAAGTGGTGGGAAAAGATACGTCTCCCCAACAACTACGAAAAGGCACTTTTAGCCCTCGACGAGAAATTGCAATACTGGCCCAAATTCTACATCCATAAATGCAAACAGAGGCTTACGAGGCTGACGCAAGTGAGGATCCGCGAAAGGAATATCGCGAAGGAGGAAGTGAGAATTGGTGAGAAGAACATCCCGAGATTGGCGCCAAAGGTGAGACGGAGGGAGGAGACGAGAGAGCGGAAAGCAGAAAGTGCGGCGAAAGTGGAGAGGGAGATTGAACGGGAACTTATGGAGCGGCTGACGAGTGGAGCGTACGGTGATCGACCGCTCAACATCGAAGAGGGTTTGTGGAGGAAAGTTCTGAGAGGACTCGAGAGGAGGGAAAAGGGTGAGGAGTTGCTGGATGAAGAACTGGAGGAGGAGAATGAGGAAGAACTGGAGGCAGAGGTGGAGTACGTTTCCGATCTGGAGGAGAGCGAAAATGAAATGGAGCAGGAGATGGAGGACTTTGACGACTGGCTTGGCGGAGAGAGTCCTGATGAAGAGGATGAAGACTCCAGTGAGGATCCTGGAGAGGACGAGGATGAGAGCGAAGACAGCGACGAGGACGAAGATGGCGAAGGTGCATTGGGCAAGAAGCGGAAACGACATACAAGGCAACCACCAAAGCCACAGAAGAAGCCTCGCGGTCGTGTGGAGATTGAGTATGAGGCTGAGCCGCCATTGAAAGAGACAATATTGGCCTAGGATGTACTCTGAGCAAGGTTGATGGTCTTTTCACCATGATACATCCTGTGGGCTTTGGGGCTCGAGGCAGAACGGAGGATTCTCTTGAAAACAAGAGGCGAGTCCAGATGCGCGACGTACAGGAATAGGTCTGAGATTACAGCTATGAACACAATGTTCAGCCGCCGCTCCATCCCACGAGAACCATTTCTCCACAACCTCAGCTCATTATTCGTACCAAGTTAACCTGGCTTCACTCCCTGTTGAGTTAGATTCGGTCAAGACGTGTCTTGCTGCTGCATTCTTGCATACCTAAATAGCCAACCTCGTCAAGCTTTGCGACAGATTCCCTTGACATATCGGAAGACCTGAGAATGCTCAAATATCAGCATCGACACCTGAGTTTCCCCATGATTATTGACGACAGGAAAAGCTCGGATTGTACTTGAATGCTTTCGTACCTCGTGACCCTGGAATTCATCTGTTGTGGTAACTCTCCGTTCATCCCAACCCCCCATCCCCAAGACGATCCTATCAATCTTCCCGTTCAAACGACATCCGCCCATAAACACAGGCCAGATCCAGTCTACCAACCAGGCGTAAGACATTGTGATGGAATCGGCATTGTTCTCGACGTGCTCGAAGAAGAGGAACTCGCCGCCGGGTTTGAGCAATGCCTGCACGATAGCTACTGTGGCAGCGAGTTGCTTCTGCGGCGCTGAGCAGAGGCTCTTGACGGCGACAATGGTGTCAAATACGCCGTTCTCAGGGAGACTGGACGTCGTGCTGGGGATCAAACCGGCCTTCTTCAGCGCAGGTAGAAGGCTTCCTGGCTGAGCCCCGGCTTCGAGAGCGATGATTTTTTTGCCGAGCCCACGTTTCTCCGCGTTTTCAGCGAGTTTCCCGTGCAAGAAGGTGTTTGGTTCCGCGCAGTACAGCACCTCAATCTGAGCAGGCTTGTAGTGATACATTTGGTCGCCTGCTCCTGGACCTAGTTCGAGGACCTTCCCGTTTGCGCGCGAGAGAAGTTCCTCGATGTGATTGACTTGGGCCTCCGAGGCAGCCATCTTGGGGCCAATGATCCGCCAGAAGTTTTCGAACCATTTTGAGCGGAAGGTTGACGGAGATGTGACGAACAGCAGCGGATGAGAGAGAAGGGTTAGGGGAAAATAGGCAATGGAGATGCTCAGAAGGAGCAGAGGGTCTAGATATGACTGCAACCTCACAAGCAAAGGCACAGCCATGTTTTGGGTACGAATAGTATAGCTGTGAAAGAGCAATTGATACTAGGAGCGTGGAACAGGGAAATGTGTGCCCGTCTCTGCCAGGTCCAAGAGAAGGTGTCCTTGGGAAAGGAGAGAATCAGGGGAAGAGGAAGCGGAGTAATTACAGACCCTTTATATTCGTACCGTCTTCGCATCCCAGCTCGGTTTACCTAGGTACGAGAATTGGAATTGGAGTTGGCAAAGAAACAACTTGAACGGATCGAGGCCCGAGCAAGGAGCAAACTGGAAGCGAGGCAAGTGAGGCGAGCTGCTGTTTGCTGCTGGGCAGGGCGCTGCAGGGCGCAGGCGATATCTTCACGTGGAGATAATGGAGGGGTGAGTGGGCCACTCCTTGTACCGGGTACATAATAGGCTTCGCTCAACTCCGCAATCGGCGTCACGGCGATGTTGATGCAATTTTCTGGGTTCAATTGGAGAAATCTGTCGGGGGGTTCTTTGACTCACTTCCTCTTTCATCAGGACCACACGCGCACACGACACACTGTCAAGCCCCGGTCAACACTCCCTGACATCCCAATATGACATCCTTCATTACCACGATCCAGTCCAAGTTGGGCTATTCCTCCCAGAAGGCTCTCCTCCTCGGCGCCGGATTTGTTACAAAGCCCACCGTCCAGATCCTTGCAGATGCTGGCGTTGAGGTCACTGTCGGTCAGTGGTTGCGGATCCGTGGCCGACCAGTCTTTCCTAACGTATTGTAGCCTGTCGCACACTTGAACATGCAAAGAAACTATGCGAAGGCATCAAGAATACACGGCCCGTCTCCCTCGATGTCACCAATGAAGAGGCACTTGACAGTGAGATGGCCAAGACCGACCTGGCAATCAGTCTGATCCCGTACACCTTCCATGCAACCATTATCAAATCCGCAATCCGAAACAAGAAGAACGTCGTGACAACCAGCTACGTCTCCCCCGCGATGTTGGAACTGGAAGACAAGGTCAAGGAAGCGGGCATTACGGTCATGAACGAGATTGGTCTAGATCCGGGCATAGATCATCTCTACGCCGTCAAAACCATCGAAGAGGTCCACAAAGCTGGTGGCAAGATCAAGTCTTTTCTCTCATATTGTGGCGGCTTACCGGCCCCAGAAGCCAGTGGTAATCCTCTGGGGTACAAATTCTCCTGGTCGAGTCGAGGGGTCCTGCTAGCTCTCCGCAACTCGGCCAAGTTCTACCAAGATGGTTCCGTCAAAGAGATCGCCGGGCCCGACCTCATGAGCAGTGCGAAGCCGTACTTTATCTACCCTGGATTTGCGTTCGTCGCATATCCGAACAGAGACTCCACGCCCTACCGAGAAAAGTACAATATCCCCGAAGCCCAAACAGTTATCCGCGGTACGCTGCGGTACCAAGGTTTCCCCGAATTTGTCAAGGTTCTGGTCGATATTGGCTTCCTTTCGGAAGAAGAGCAGTCTTTTCTCAAACCATCCGCTGACAACAAGCCTCTAACCTGGGCCGAAGCAACGCAGAAGATCATCGGCGCGACTAGCAGCAAGGAGTCGGATCTTTCGTGGGCGGTCAGCTCTAAGACCACCTTCAAAGACACACCCGAGAAACAACGCATCATATCCGGAATGAAATGGCTAGGCCTGTTTTCAGATAAGCCCATCACCCCCCGAGGCAATCCGCTTGACACACTCTGTGCCACGCTTGAGGAAAAGATGCAGTATGAAAAGGGCGAGAGAGATATGGTCATGCTCCAGCATAAATTCGAGATTGAGCATAAAGATGGGACCCTCGAGACCAGGACGAGCACTCTTTGTGATTACGGGGACCCCAACGGGTACAGTTCCATGGCGAAACTCGTGGGTGTACCCTGTGGGGTGGCCTGTCTGATGGTGTTGGATGGAAGAATTAAAGAGAAGGGCATCCTGGCACCGTTGAAGTGGGAGCTGGCGGAGCCCTTGCTGAAGGAGTTGAAGGAGAAGTATGGGATCTTTTTGACAGAGAAGACGGAAGAATAAGGGCACAAGAATTCTTGCTTTGAGGCCTCACAGATGGCTTGGACAGGAATCAAGCACATAGACTGGTTTACACGGAAAAATAAGGCAAGCAGATCAACCTTGGGGCCTTAACACGCCGCGTCCCATCAGTTCGTCTAAGGGTACTCTCAATGACCGAGGCAGCAAAAAGACGGCCAGTATTGTTAGAGTCTCGGGCTTGCCTAGCCTGGCAACAAGCAAAGTAAAATCACCACAAACCGAATATCGTACAACGGAGTCCGTTTCTGATCTCACAGCTTCAGGCAACGAGGAATGATGGAACAAAGGAGAATCGCCGCCAAACCCTCAGCTACGCGGGGCACTACTGGTCCTCCTAGGCAGGTCCCGAGGCAGCTTCGTTGTCGGGTCGGCGCTCGGATCAGCGCAACTTAGGCATGGCATTATATGGACTTTATATACTTCAATCTCCCAATTTGAGATTGATATTGCCCAGATTTCGCGTGAATAGTTTAAGGGTAGAATTCGAGCTTCCCATGCTCGAGGCCCGCGTTCGAGTCGCGGTTCACGCAGGTTATGATTTTGTTTTTGCATAATGTGTTTTGTGTCTCTCTTTTGGGGTGTTCTTTTTTTTTTGGCCTTTTCTTAAATGATCGTTCTCTGTTTCCTGCTATAATACCGCCATTGCGATAATTCCATTCGAATTTGTCGAGCACAATGTGCGGCTACTCTATTCGGCAGTGGCACTCCCACTCTTGGTGTGCCCGCATTTTGACGGCATCGGGGTGGGCCTCTTGGACTCCCACGTGCTGGTGTCCGCATTATTTCCATGCATGCATCATTGGTTCCTGTGACTGGAACATTCGCCGGGGGCCGCAGGCATCCCAACTGACTGATGCGAAACCACTGCGAACATTATCACAACACGCCACTATTTGACAACTTTCTTCCTCTCCTTCTTTTTCCCTCCTGCGCACACCAGATATCCTCTCCCAGGTCTATTGGTAATTTCCCATCGGACGTGCAAGATGGCATCCTCGACTCGATACCAACCCGCTCCTCAGCGCGACTCGCTCGACGAGCAAAACTACACTCAAGCCCCTCCTAACTATCAGGCTACAGGACCCAGCCATGAGGAGGGCATTTTCGGGGCCCCTAGATCAGAGGACGACAATGTCCCGGACGACTTCAAGGTACGCCCAAATCCTCTCACCCCCAGACGTGGTTGCGCAAGCTAACCGCGTGAGACAGTTCGGCGGCGTCATCATCGAAGCTACCATTGACATCCGAATGTCCTTTATCCGCAAAGTCTATACCATCCTGACCACCCAGCTCCTCCTCACAGCCGCCCTGTCCCTGCTTTCGTTTTTCTCTACCGGCTACAGGAACTGGATCCAGTCCAACTCGTGGATGATGTGGGTGTCTTTGATCGGCGCCATTGGATTCATGCTCCTCACATTCTGGAAACGCAAGTCCTACCCAACAAACATGGTCTTTCTGGCCGGATTCACCGCGCTCGAGGCATACAGCATCAGTGTTATCACATCCTACTTTGAAAGCCGCATCGTGCTCGAAGCCCTCGTCCTCACGCTGGGCATCTTTGTCTTCTTGACCCTCTTTGCGTGCCAGAGCAAGTACGACTTCACCAGCTGGATGCCCTACCTCTTTGGCGCCTTGTGGATCTTGATCATTTTCGGCTTCATGGCTGCCTTTTTCCCGCACGGGTCCACGGTGGAATTGGTCTATGGCGTGATTGCGGCCTTGGTCTTTAGTGGCTACATCCTTGTGGACAC